GGGCGCACGCTCTTCTTCTTCTCTATCCGTACCTACCTTACACTATCGTGACGTGCCTGGCTATCATACCAAGTCATGGTAGGGTAGGTATCTGTACGGAGTAGTAGGTACGGATAGGTATGGATTCGTTCGTACTCGAAGGATCAACACACACACCTGCCAAGGTACCTTGATCTGGGTAAAGGCAGCTTCTGCTGTAACGTTGGCGCAGCTAGGGCAATGTCACTCTCCACATACCTTTGGGTGTGGAACGACTTGCGACTCTGCCCAGACCACCAGCCACTTCGCCGCATGAACCAGACGTCAAGCTTGTGAACTTCACCTTGTTTTACCACGCAGCATCCGGCCGGGTTTGAGGGGTTCCCTCAGTCATCGAGCCGTAGGCCATGCGTCTCCCGTCTGCTGGGCTACCAAGTAGTCTTCTGTCTAGTTGCCAACTGTCTAGGTCTGCCCCTCGCTCTTGATACGCAATAATTCGCCTCAACCACATCTCGTCTTGGCCCCAAGGTAAGCCAAGGTGACTCGACACGATGCACTCAACACACGGACAGGACCGCGCCATGGATCGCAGACAGTGGCACCCATAACGCTCCGCTCCGAGTTGCTGCTCGCTCGCCCGTCAACCTTCCACTCCCCTATTTTTCCTTCTCTTCCCAAGTGTCACAAGTCTGGGCATCCCTTTGAACGGATGAATCCACCCGTGACGCGGCAAGATCTACGTTGTCCCCGTCGTTCAATGCGAACCTCCGCGGTCCGAAGCCCGCAAATGCAAATCTCGAGAGGGAGCTCCGGCAGGCACTTGTCATGTTCACCACCAAACATTGCCCACGGGTCGAGACTCAGCTGTTCCTCGACTCTTGTTTCCTGAATCAGCCTCCTCGTCAAACACGTTTGCATCATAAACGTCGATACACTTTGGCGCAGTGGCTTCTTGGTGGCTCTCAAGCAGCCCAACTGACTTAACCTTCTGTCATTATCAGCCTAGACATGTCGTCAACGAACACTTCAACTCCCCTGCCGCCTCCGCCCCATATCTTTGGGGCTGCCTTACTCAATCTACAATCTGCACGTAAAGAGTACAGACCACCGCTTCTCGCATCCGATTTCGAGCTTGCCTACCACCTACCTAAGCTAGTTTCAAACTCGGCCATCTGCTCCACCCATCGACCCCTTTGCACGTATATGTCGGTCACTTCAAGTTCCCACTGGCACTGCAGCATCAGCCTCCTTGTGTAATGCCATCTGCGTACACGCCCTTACTACGGATAGTGGGCCTTATCACGGCAAGGCGGTCCCGGCGCCCCTGCGATCCAGCAAAATAAGGTAGCGCCTCTGGTCCCTGTTCAACTACAACGCGTATTCGTCTCATCTACCACCTGTCACCTACGCTCCGCCTCCTTCCGGTCTTCGATCGGTGGGGGGAATCTCCCGGAACCGTCGTCAGTGTTTCTTCTAACATGATCTGCATCAAGCCCGACGCTGAAGCCATGTCTGTTGGTCTCCTCCTCTGGCATAGGCCTCTCTCTCCGTTCCCAGGGAACAGAGGCCCCATCTCTTTTGCTGGCCCCGCTGTCCCATCTGTCCCATCGCCCAGAGACGATCAAGAACTCGGCGGAAAATTCTGACCGAGACAAGCCTTGGGAAGCTTGGCATACAGAGGTTAACTTACACGAGCCTGTGACAACGGATGGAAACCCGCAACCTTACCGAGACCCCAGAGTCCAAGGTAAGTGCCCCCATCCCGCAACTCCAGGTCCGCGAATCTGTCTACCTAACCGAGAGTCCTTGAACCTCATCCTTGGGGTGGGCAGTATGCCAAGCCATTGGAGAGGCTCAGCCTCAGTGTCAAACCCGACCATGGTGCGGTTCTTTGGACTCCTCACACCATAACCACAACAACCCCTGGCATCTTGCCTGTCAGTGTTCTGGAAGCCGTGGCCATCGAGCTTGACCTGAGGTAGCAGATGCAGTCCAAAAATCTACGTTCATCGCAAAAATCGTACGATATTGTTTATGGTGGCTGCCACTCCACGTGTGGCTATTGGTGATCATCATAAAGCCTATCCGGCTCATCGACCGAGCTTCCCTGGTAAGAAACACATTGAAAATCTCTCGTTGATTTCATGATCATTCTTTATACATCATCTGATGGCTTCCCGCAAAGTCTACCTACAGCATACCCTTCTCAACCTCGTCCTTTCTCTCCTCCCACAGCGTCTTGCCGGTGCATGAACAGACCGTCTTATCATTGTCCCACACGCCGGCACTCCTGGCAATCACGCCGACTAACGTGTCTGGGTCATTTTTCAACGCCCCTGCAGACTCATCTTGTCTCGAGACGACCATGGCATGGCCAATAACTTCCCAGATTTGAAAGGGTTTGTCGAGATAGGCGCTGCCTCTGCCATCCTTGTCGACGTTGAAGACACCCAAGAAGCCCTTGGCGGCGGCGGCGTCTTGACTGCTTCCCGACCAGACAGGGCCCGTCGATGATGCGCCCTCTGCCAGGTTACCGTACTCACGGATTGTAGCTCGGTATGACCCGGGGGCAACGCCGCGTAGCGTCATGTCGATCAGAGTTGTAGTCGGGGAGACCTGCACCATTCTAGCCAGGCCCCTGACCTCTCGGTCTCGCTGCTCATCCGACTTTGAAGGCGCATCATCTGCATGGTAAAAAGACTCGAGGATGCTCACAGCCGCGCCTAAGGGACGTGGTGAGTCAGCGGTCAGATGAAGTCCGGTGTTCCCAGGTGAGCGAGTTTAAACGACGACGATGAAAACCCAAAACTTGACCCCATCTGCCGACACCAGTGCCGGTGTGACAAGACAAGTTGGGTGGTATCAGGAAACAACTTAATGTCCGCCAAGGGGTTACAGGAAATGCGGACAGAAAAGTTGGACTTGGACGACAAGAGCACAAAAGCCAAGGAGAGAAAGAAGAGACTTCAGTTGACCTACTGTTTGATCCTCCCGAGCCTCGCAGGATGGCGTCCCTCCCCGTGGCTTGGATGGCGTCAACAATTGTTGATGGTGCGGCTGCAAAACGTCGCCAAGAGTGTTAGCGGCAGGTACATTCTTTTCTTTTTTCCAAACGGTAAGGCGTTCAATTTTTTGAGTCTATCCATCCCCCATGACAGGTTTGTAAGGCAGCGAATACAATCTTGAGAGGATCACCGCGATGGCGCTGTCAAACCGGCAAGCTTGGGACGCCTCAAAGCATCGCGTATGTGGGACGCACAACAGCACAACAGCATGGGTGTAAGACAGGGAAGGGGGCGTGTGTGTGTGTGTGTGTGTGTGTGTGTGTGTGTGTGTGTGTGTGTGTGTGTGTGTGTGGATGGAGGAGGGATCAACAGCCATGAGCCGCAAGAAGGATGATAGTGAAAAAAAGGGAAAAAGAAAAGAAAAGGGAAAAAAAAGCTTTCAGAGTTTGCGGCAGAAGACGACGTACCTGTGCCCTCGACAGAAAGCAATTGGTCCTTGAGATTGGCCTCGACCTTGGTGATACCCCCGAGCTTGTACAACGAGTCTGAAACGTCCTTGACGCAGCTGTCACATGTCATGGGTACGGCGAAAACGGTCTAGTGTTGGATTTTCAGACGTTTCATTAGCCATTTGATTCAGTTGAGCAATTACACCCCCATTGCTGTATTGTAGATTCGGGTATACTTGAACAGGTGGAAAAAGGCAATGGGTAGTAAATGGGCAAAGGATGAAGCCCGTGTATGTGCGTGCGGAAGAGGAATGGACCCTCATACGCACATGTCCCTCTACCCGGATTGCGTGCGTCTCGACGGGACGGTACTGACGGACGACGGAGCGAGCGAGAATCAAGGAACAAGACTTTGTCGCCTCGGCCAGGTCCCGTGTCCGTGACGGAGACTTGAGGGGCGGGTGGACTGCCTGACTGACTGACTGACTGGACTTGCCGGGCAAAGCGGAAAGAGAGGACCAGACTGGAGAACAGGCATAGAGGGAAAGAGAGAGAAACGGTATTGAGAACTCACCTGAAAAGGATATGAGACGCTCATGGTGAAGGGTCGTCTGCTTGGCTGCAGCGGGCTTCGTAGCAGAGAGCGGTAGTTGTGGATGAAGTCGGGGAGGCAGTAGAGCATGCTCTGTCCTTGTAGGACCCTTTGTTGTTTGTGCTGTTGTTGAGATGAGAAAAAAGTGAGGTCAGGTTGTTAAACTCCGGTGGTTTCCCGTTCCTAAAATAAAGAGAGAGAGAGATGGATGGAGTTTGTCGTTCTCGGGGAAAAAAGAGCCCCAGGGAATGTTGGTGTGTCGCGGGTTTACTCTGTGACCATCCCACTTTGACAAAATGCCCAAAGTTTTCAAGTGGTATTGCTCATAGGATATGGTTATGATGCTGTTGAATTGCGTACCAACAACCTATGGGATGACTGTGCCGGCATATGCGGGTTTAATACCCATGGTCCATCGTGGAGTAAAGTTGTCTGCGAATATGGGCTTGCTTTGAAATCGTGCTGCTGCCCCTCCTCTCCCACTCGCGGCCAGCGGACAGCGAGCACGGCGCAATTGGATCGCATCGCCTCATTGCTTTCCGTCGTCGTCTGCCCCACCATGAGAACGCTCGGGCCAGTTTTTGGAGAGCATCGGCCCCAAAGTCGGCGCTCGGTCTCTGCAGCTGGGAGCAGTCCCGGCAGCTGGTACCATCTGGTAGATCGAAAGCAGCTTTCGTTCCCTACCTAGGTACGGAGTACCAGGTAAGCTGATGGGATCTTATCATTATCATCACGTGAGAACGCTCCCGGCTCCAAAATTTTGGGAGAAGCTCAGGGTCAGGCTACTGAATGGAGATCGCCAACGACGCCCAAGAACGCGTGACGACTACGTTCCTTTTCCGAGATCCGACGACGACGCTTTATCGCTGGCTTGCCCGCTGCAAGGACTGTCCCATTGACCGATTCGGTTCGCGAATACCAGAAACGAGCGTCAACGTCGGCTGAGGCGGCCAGCCCCAGAACACACATTTCAAGATGTCGCAAACCATTGGCCTGGTAAGCTTTCCCCCTTTCGCAGCCTCCCCAATCAAATATACCTCTCTCCATGCTCCCGAGAGCTATCGTCACGACCATATAGCTGACCCAGTTGCTCAACTCTCCAGACGCGCCTCTCCTACTCCCGAGTATGGCACCAGATCTCCGCCTCGGCTCCCCACGAGATCCTCTCGACCCAGCCGGGCGTCACCCCGCCCTCGCTGGGCCGCCTGGCCAGCCGCATCGCCGTGCTGCTGATGGGCAAGCACAAGCCGACCTGGGACCCTTCGACGGACTGCGGCGACTACGTGGTGGTGACGGACTGCGCGGCGCTGCACGTGACGGGACGCAAGAAGTGGCAGAAGACGTACTACCGACACAACACCCGCCCCGGCAGCCTGCGACAGGTGACGATGGACGTGCTGATGGAGAAGCACGGCGGCGCCGAGGTGCTGCGCAAGGCGGTGAGCGGCATGCTGCCCAAGAATAGGCTGCGGGAGAAGAGGCTTGCGAGGCTCAAGGCTTTCGAGGGGGAGGCGCACCCGTATAAGCAGAATGTTATCCGGTTTGGGGATGTTCCTGTGGGAAAGACTGGGTGGGAGGAGCAGGTTAAGGCGATCCGGGAGGCGGATTCGCAGAGGATATGAGAGGGGTTTTGCTGTTGACTCTTCGTGAGGTGCGACGGTTGTAAAGGGGTGATGGAGGGGGAAGGGACGACCGAGGTGTAAAGTAAAGCCGCCTTGAGTCGGCGTGTATATTCTGTACGAATACGGGCATTCTCAAAAACTTTGAAGTCAAATGACCCTCTACAATGTGGCAGTGTTTCTCATCGAGTGCCGGACTGTGTCTGTCATTGATATGTTCTGGCTAGTGGGATTGGGATCTCTGCCTGACATGCGTAATGCGATCCCCTGGAAACTCCCGAGGCTTTCGAAAGACATCGTACCTATTGGAACTGATGTCGAGAATGTTGCGAGCTGAGCATCGACAGTCTACGATGTCTCGATATAGGCGAGGGGAAGAGGAGTGCCGGTTGAAAAGGAGCAAGGAAGGTTAGGTGCGGTATCAGGGAACCTACTAATATCTTTGTATAGACAGGCGTGTTTCGTCAAGGGTGATAATGGCAGCAGTATGAAGATGTGATCCATCAAGTTTTTCCTTACGTTCACGTCGCCTTTGATGTCGAATAGCATTGTCTGGAATCACTTCTGAGCTCTGCTGCCAAGAGACACAGGTATTGCTTGCTTATCCAATACTTTGAACACATACATCTGAGTTTGCAAGTTATTGTCACTTTTACAAATTATCTCCTAATTGGAGTCAATTGCCAAGTTTTTCTTGAGAATCGCAATACGTGTGAAAGCTTGATGGTTACGCTGACGGCCTTTTACTATTGTTCAGCTTAAAGGAAAGAGGAAAACGCTCCTCACGACACCTGTCTCAAATGAATCTAAAAATCAAGTAGCAGTTCGAGTATATGTGTCATTTGCGAGACAGGTCGTAGAATGGGGAACACCATTGAGAAGCACCACGCCCTTTCTGAAAACCCGTACATGGTATCATGGGTGGCTTCATCATAGCTCTCCGTCGTGCCCATAATCCAAGATCAGTTCCAAAGCCAAAAGACGGTATCACTCGAGTCACAGGAGTTCTCTCAAGGACAACAAATTTGATGGGTTATCATATTCTTAGTCATTGCTCATTATTACTATAAAAGAACACCCGGCCAGGCTTGACCAGGTCATGGACGCCGGTAAATGCAAGTGGGGAATCTCACTGGATTCTCATAGGAAAGCATCTTCTCTCATCCTCAGTCTACAGCCCCTTATCTCACTCACTCGACCCACAGGCCAACTCACCCAAAGCTCGCTCGCGTCTACAACTTGGCGGTTTCGGGCTTGCGGGCGACCTCGCACTTGATGAGGCCGTTGGGGCCAGACTGCGGCGCGTAGACCTCGGCGTCCTTGCCCGTGTTCTTGAGCCCCTTGTGCCAGCTGAGGTCGATCTCAAAGTAGTGCTTGTTGGGCAGGGAGTAGGTGGCGGTCAGGGTCTCGGGCACGGCGGCGAGGATCTGCTCGCACATCTTGTACATTGTGTTTTGCACGCTGGCGCTCTCGTCCTCGGCAAAGGTCTTCATGGTGATGTCGCGGGCGGCGCGCCACGCGGGGTCGAACTTGGGCACGGCGGCGCGGACGGCGGCCAGGTCCGGGAACTTCCAGGTCCAGGCGGCGTCGACGTCGGTGGACAGGATGCGGTCCCAGGTCTCGGGGAGGGTGGTGTACTCGTCGCGGACGAAGCCGTGGAAGGCGGAGCCGGTGGACTTTAGGACGGTGAGCTTCTGGATGGCGCTGGTGAGGGCGATGCCGTCCTTGCGGGAGATGCGGGCCTCGACGTTGCGGGTCTCCTCGCCGTCGCGGAAGAAGGAGTGCGGGTGCGGCTTGCCGTCGACGGTCATGCGGGTCCAGCGGTGCTGGATGATTTTGACGTTGGCTGTGTGAATGTGGGCGTAGGTCTCGAGGAAGTGGGCGCCGAGGATGGAGGCGAAGAGCTCCGGGGGGTTGACGGGGTTCTCCTTGGCCTTGATGTAGGTGGTGTTCTTGATGGAGTCGGTGGCGACGACGACGCTGTTGTCGGCGACTGTGTACGAGGTCTCGATCTCGCCCTCGAGGAGGCAGCAGACAGTCATCTCGGTGACGGTCTGGACGTTGCCGTTCTTCTCGACCTTGTAGACGCGGACGTTGTCCTTGCCGTAGCGGGCGGAGGCGAGGTAGGCTGCCATTGTGAATGTGTGTGTGTGTGTTCGTGTGTGGCTTTGCGAGGGTTGAGAATGGGGGGAAAGCGAACAAATTGTACGGCGTTTGGGGTATCACGGATGAGATTGCTGGTATCGCAAAGACGAGATAAGATGAGATGTCGTTGTGAGATGAGGGTCGAGGATGAGAGCAAGGTGCTAAGTGGTTCAAGCTCAAGAGAGACCGCAAGCAAGCACTGATAAGGAGGTGGGTGTTGGTTGATGATGAGACAGAGGACAAGAGCAAGGTCACAGGAGAAGAGGCCAGAGGGGGGACGATAGGTTTTATATCAACATCCAAGAGAAGAAATTGGTTGAGGTTCTCGCTCTCAGATTAGCTTCGTTGGACGTCACCCACCACAGAGACAAGAGCCGGGCCGGAGATACACCAGCAAGCAGCACAGATAGCGTAGTCGCGTCTTGAATCGGCACGCAATGTTTGCGCTGTGCAAGCATGAAAGCTTCTGCTTGTGTTGGGTGCTGGGATGTACGTACTGTGTAAGGGTGGCCCCGCGGGTCGGGGGTAGGTAGGTAAGGGCCCAATGGCCTGGCCGAACTGGCCCGATCGCTTGATAGGGTCCGGCTGCCGTGGGGTAGAATGGTCTTATTGGAGCTGGGTGGATCCCCCGGAGCCCGCCGATGCCCTTTGGACGCTGGGCAGGCAAGTCGCCGCATGCAGCCGCTGTCTCCCTACGGCTGTCTGCGCCAGGGCGGGACCGACGAGAGACGCTCTGGGCCGTACATGCTATTTGGTAAGGCGAGGTACCTCAGCTCCACGAAGCAAACGCCTCTAGCCTCTAGGGCTCTGAAAAAAAGAAGAAACAAGACGAGAGTCGGCAAGTTCTGCCGTGACTACCGTAGCTACCGCAGGCGGTAGTTGATTTTGCACTTTTTCTCTCCAGGGTCCGTCTCTACGGGACCAATGAAGACTAGATGAGATCAAAGGATCTTACAGAGCCGCAGATGCTCGTGATGTATCTTGGCTGCTGGACCTCCAGTGGCCGGCTCCGCGTAAGGGTCAATATTTCATACAATGATGAAGAATGTACATGAACGCTTCACAACCAACATGGGAACACCAAGAAATCCACACATCATGCAAGCCGTTTCTCTCAAAGCCCGTCCCTGTGCCGCCGCTCTCCGACCTGATGTGAGGTCAAGGTGAAGTGAGATGAGATGAGGTGAGGTGAGGTGAGGGTTTGGCCAAGGACGGGCGCGCGAAGGAACCGGGGGCCCCGCCATTTCGGGACTGTGGATATTAGACCGAAAGGCCGAAGATGCAAATCCCGTAGTGGGTGACTGATTCTGACAGAATCATTTCTGTCCATTATGTTTGCTGTGTGGATGATGGGAACTCTTTGGCAGGTGTTGTCTCGATCCTCGGCGTTGGTTCCTATCTCCCGCCACCAGTACTTGCTACCAGCAAGTCTGCTTGACACGGCTAGAGGTGGGTGTCTCCGAGGCATCGAATGACTGCGGATGGGGGAGCCGGCCGCGTTTCAGCATTGGTAGTGGCAGTTGATGCTGTGGCACAAGCAGCTTCAGACGGCAAGGGATTTCCTCGGTAGGATGGTCCATGATGAGCGTTCACGAGCACCTTTTTTCTCTCTATGTAATACAAAAAAGGTACGGATATGGGCTCGCCCGAAGTTGACTGCCCGCCTTTTCAGGTTCCTTTGAATAGAAGCTGGTTCATCGATTGAAGCCATCGTCGACTGCACTTTACTTAACCATAATGAAGATCTTCAGCTCAAGTAACATGTACCATATCGGAGGATAGGCTGACGAAAATATGAGGCTGTCCAAGCTATCATGATCTACCTTAGGCGATCATTCTTGTAAATTATTGGAGGTCGATGGTCGTTGATCGTTGAGCGTCGAGGTAAAACTGAGTGGTGCCAAGAGCTGCACCTGTATCTGTACAGATAATGGGGTCAAGGTTTCGTGCCTTATCTAGGGCTTATCGACAAGATGCCTACCTTAGGTATCCATGACGATGTATCCCTTCAGCAGACGTAACGCTAGAAGGTAGCTCGAAATAGAGACTGCTGCAGCTGACGGCAACGTCCCCATTGGCTTCTCAGGCAGTCCTCTTACCGTCCGAGCCAAGCATAACGAGGCATGGTGCCCTATCTGAGCAAGTATTTGTACTCGACGTCTTCCAAGGTCACCAAAGGGGAGACAGACGTGGTCCAAGCTTTCGGTGAGGGGTGAAGCGACCAAGAAGCGGGGCTACTGATGGAAGGCTGCTTCCTTCCGCGTTACGGCGCATGCAGCAATAGCCCAGCAGCAGCAGAAGGAGTCGAAGGAGAAAGAGCGCACCGAGAGAGCAAGTAAGATTTCATCATCACTTCTTTCCAGATCCTCGGACATAAATGCTTGAAGATGAGATAGACAGGCCGAAGCTACCTAAGTTGTGTTGTACACGTGATCTCAAGTTGATTAACATCAGCATTGAAGATGGATGATGAATGAGGTAAAATGGACTTGGCTGTGTGCGTGCATGAACGAGGTCCGACTCCAACAATCTGAACCCGAACAATGGGCTTGGGGCTGCCAAATCCGTACACACTTGAGCTGGAAAGTACTTTCAAGAAACAGCCTACCTACCGTATCTCCCTATTCCTTCCTACCTACCTTGACAACCCCAAAGCCATACCTCAAGATTTCTCTTTTCTCTCACCTTTCTTCACCTTAATTCACCTCATCATAGGGCAAGGAAGATACTTTCAAAGGCGAACTGACGCAGACGCTGCTTACCCCGTCCTGAGAGTCAGAGGTGCACTGGAGAGCTTGAACAGAGGAGAACCTCGCAACTTCGCTGCAGCTGTGGCCGTGACACTGCACCACCCTGAGAAATCACCCCTGAACACCACCCACCTCAGACACCAGTATCAGCGCCTTCTGCGGTCCACAGGTGACATCGGCAGCAACCACACCTCTACAGCCCGCCCGCGACCATTCTCAACTGTTAACACCGCTGAGCCACGCCCGCGACAGCAACCCATGCGCATCCAGGCCCACTCCTGAAGCTCTGAAGACCAGGCTCAGTTGGTATCCGGCGACCAAGTACGCACTGCGCAGTACCTACCTTACACAGTAGGTACTTCACCGTCAACTGTGGGCCGCGAACGAGCACTCGGCTGGAACGCCGCAGCACCACGCAACAGTCGAGACAACGACAACAGCGACGACTGCTTCCACCAGAACTAATCATCCATCACAGACAACCCAAGGGCACAGATATCTCGCCCGACCTCAAGCGACACTGTTATCGGGACCGTCTTCCACGGCTGGAACCTGCGAAAGATCCAAACGATCAACCCTTTCTGATGCGCCAATCGCATATCCTCAGCATTAGACTCACATCGCATCTCCACTCGGACTGACGTCCTGCCCTGCTCTTGGCGTGGCTCTGCGGGTGGCCGACCAACTTCGCCCATTTGCGCGCCCAACAGCCTGCGACTCGAACATTCACCTTCTCCTCCGTACCTCTCGCGCCATATTTCGACCGCCTTCAATTTGAAGAATTGTCCGAACCTCGATTCGAACCTCGTTACCCACCTACCGCGACAGAGCCTCATTCAAGCGATCGACGACAGTCCTTTACTCCACGCGGACGAACCCCGACTACGACCACCAACCCCCTGACACCCCGATAACGAATTTCTAAAATCAGAGCAGTATTGAAATAACAGTCGCCCGAATGCCAGAACCTCCGGAGAAGCCCCGTAGCAAGGTGGTAACATAGAGAGGCATCGCCAAGATGCTGAGCGCCTCCGGACAGTCTCAAAAGGCACTCTCGCCTCAACAGTCGGCATCGAGCGCCAATACCCTCAATCCACGTCCGAGTTTCGAGCGCATAGAGAGCACCGGCGGCCTTCAGCCGCCATCCGCCTCTGTCAATGGATCGAGAAGTCTGGGCGCCTCGGGCGTCAGCTTCGGACCCCGAGGCTCTTCCCTCAACCCCTCCATCGCCCCTGGGAGCTTTAGTTCTGAGCTGCGCAGCCAGATGATGCCATCTCGCTCTGGCTCCCGAGGCGACATCTACAGCATCGATAAGGTCGACGAGGAAGATCCCGCCACGGCTGCAGAGCAGACCCTAGCTATTCTCAAGGAGCAGCTGAATCGAGAGATGAAGATCAAGGACGGAAGTGAGAACATGCTGGAAGCCTTGAACGCCAAGAAGGCAAAACAAACCAAGGAACAGAGGGCCAAGGTCGAAGCAGAGCTGAATGCCTCCAACCAGCGCATCAAGAATCTACGGCAGAAGATTACAGATGCCTCGAGATTCAAGGCGACTCCAACCACACCCACAAGACAAAGGACAAACGAGCCACTGTTCTCTTCTGCCAACAATGGCATGCGCTCACCTCCTAGCGCCTCTCGCAGTGGCGCTGGTTCAGACAATGAAGAGACGGCTGAGCAGTCACCGACCTTTCTCCTGGCTGAGTTGCTACAAGCCCTTGAGCAAGAAGGCATGCCGCCAGAGTACTATGTCAGTCGAGGAAACAGTCTAGTTGATCTGTTCAGGCGGCATCCAACTCTCAAGTATGACCTGGTATGGTCGGTGTTCGGTCTTCGCATGCAAGTAATGCTGCTCAGTGAGGCCAGAGAAGTAGTGGCAGCTGGTTACCGAATGATTCGCTATGCCATCTCAGATGTGTCTTCTTTAAAGAAGATCCGCAGTCTGAATACTGACATCATTGTTGTGACGTGAGTTTGGCCATGTTTCTACAATTGACAAGACTGCGAGCCACAGCTAACAAACCGTAGATCTTTGATCAAAGACCGAAAAGCAGATCTGGAGCGTGAACAGGCCTTGAAGTTCGTTCGGGCCTTTTTGGATGTCAAGGATGGAGTCAAAGAGCTTTCACGCGCTGTTGTGAGGACTATAGCCGCTGTTGCAGAGCAGGCTGAAGATCGTCTACGCTCCATCTGCTTGGAAACACTTGCTGAGGTTATGCTTCGTGACCCGGCCCTGGCAGTCGCTTCTGGCGGCCTTTCACCGCTCTCTGAGGCTTTGATCGAAGGAACATATAAATCGCCCGAATCTCTTACGGCGTCTTATATGCAGATCTTGGATAACCCACAAAAGAGAATCTACTTGCGCTCCGGTTATGATCTGGAGGTTCTCTTCACGGCATTCACAGATATCATCCTCGCAAATGAGAGCCTACTGAAGCAGAACGCCAAGGCAATCACCAAGATCCTGAAGAGTTGGCCTGGGTTGATGATGCTGACTATGCATGACTCTCGAGCCATCAAGTCGCTGCTCACTAGCATGGTGCTTCCGCAAGCAACCATCCGAGAGACAGTAATCGATCTCATTTACCTTCTTCTCCGGATCAAGTCGCCCTCGTGGGCTTCTTCCTTCCTAGCTGGTCGCCGCCTAACGACATATGGACGGGTAGCGAGCCTCAAATCAGTTCCGAACCAGACGCCCTCGGCCAATGCTCTGCCCGTGGAGGAAGATAGTGGAGAGCAAAACTTCATGGATCACTACACTGCCCTGCTTCTGGCTACATTTGTCAAAGCTGGTCTGTTGGAAAACTTGCTCCAAGTTGCCAGGACCAGTGACCCTCAGCTCTCCAGAAAGACGTGTCTCCTGATTGGCGAGGTGCTGAAGCTGGCAAGCAGGCTCCTCCCCGCGACGTGGAGCAACGACTTACCTCTGCTTCCGGAGCTCTTCGCTGCGGCGACTCAGTTCAAAGACGACAACAGATTCGTTGCCTCGGGCATAGTTTATCAGATTAGCTCAGTGAGCAAGACGCTGTATAGGAGCACGCCGTCTATCGCGACTGCTGGAACTCTCCCCTCCAGCGACAACCTCGCAGACATGCACCGTAAAAGCAACGCCGGGATTGTGGTTCAAGAGGGCGCAATCCGGCAGCTTTTGGTGGAGTCTAATGTCCTGAACAGCTCCAACTACTTGAAATGGAACTGGGATGTTATCTCGCGAATCATCGAAGGGCCGCTTCAAGATGGAAAGCGACTAGACGAGGTCAACAGGGTGTCCAAGTTTATGAACAGGATCATGAGCTTCTACCGGCCTTTTAAGCACAGGTTTTCGGATCTTACAAGCAATAAGAATTCTCAAAAGTACGTCAGGGTCGGATGCACACTGATGCACACTCTGCTTCAGTCAAATGAGGGCTTTCAGTACTTGCAAGATCATAAGATGTTACGGCAGATAGCTGAGTGCCTCGCTCAATGTGACCCGGTAAGCAAAAAAACACATCCTTGGCAACCTCATCAAGACACTGACAAACAATGCAGAGCAGCGGATTGACATCCACGGATCCAATGTTCTCCCCTGGCCGCTTGCAAAGCACACTTTGCGCAGGATACTTCCCCATGCTTGGAGTCCTAAGTGGTGATCCCAGAGGCTTGGAGCTTCTACAACGCTGGAGAATGTTCAACATGATGTACCACATTCTCGGGCACAAGCAGCGCCCTGACTTGATCAAACTACTTCTCTCAAACTTTGACTACAGCATCCCGGGACACCCACGGGTGCTTATAGAACAGGCTCTTACGTCTGGAACGAGGGAGATTCGCATCACGGCGACGAACGCGCTGCGGAAGTACGCCACTCGACCATTCGATGCATCCCAACCATCCCACGGCAAGATCGACTGGAAGTGGGCCATCGAGAAGCTTTGCGACCAACTATACGACCCCGAGGTAGAGGTCTGCCGAACCGCAGTTAAGATCCTCGAGAAGGCATGCAATAAGAAAGCATATCTGGAGTATGTCGTCCAGTGTCGTCCGACAATGGACCACTTGGGAGAGATCGGTGCTCCTCTCCTACTGCGGTTCCTGTCTTCGTCCATTGGCTACCACTACCTCGACGGCGTTGACTACATCAGCAATGAGATGGATGACTGGTTCCTCGGTCGAAACGACTCATACGTTGGTGTGATTGAAACCAGCCTGGCCAAAGCATTCCTAGAGAATCCAGAAGAGCACCAGAACCGCATCAACATGGTGGAAGAAGCTCAAGCAGATACCGAGCCAGAGAATCACATTCCACCGCACTTCTATCGCGAGCTTGCACGCACTCAGGAGGGATGCAAGTTACTGAGCGACAAGGGACACTTTGCTGAGTTTGCCAGCACGATCAAAGAATACGGCATGCAGTCGGAAGATCCCGAGCTCATGCTAAAGGTCAAGGCCTCCATGTGGGCTGTCGGCAACGTGGGATCAATGGAGCTCGGTGCCCCTTTTATCGAATCATGCGATGTTATCGAAGACATTGTCAAGATTGCCGAAGAACATGAGGTGATGAGTCTGCGTGGCACCGCCTTCTTCGTCCTGGGACTAGTGTCTCGATCCGCCCACGGTCTTGAGATCCTGTCAGAATGTGGATGGGATGCAAATCTTTCACCGCGAGGAGAGTCGATGGGATTCTGCATTCCCAATGACCTATCCAAATTCTTCTCGTTCAAACCCTGGAAGCACGCTATTGCCTCCAAGATTGCGTTGCCAGATACGCAAAAGACCTTTTTGACCCCGCCGCCACCAACAGAAGCGCGTCCGCCTCTAGAGAAGGAAGAGCTGCCGGCCTTCACCAACGAAGAGGCCATCAACCAACGTATCCTGGATCTCGTTGTCGATCTCGGCAACATGGTTCTGTACAAGCGGGCAATGGGTGAACTGATGCAGATCAGGCAGCACAAAGTGGCAGGCTTTAGATGTCCCAAAATGTTCAGGCGCGTCATGACGATGCTTGAATACAATCACTACCGCCTGCCTATTAGACGAATGGTTCTCGAGATGTTTGACAAAAACGTCCTCAGAAGAATTGTCTTTGACGAAGACAGCGATAGCGGATCTGACGACGAAGATGTCGATGAGGATGAGGAAAACGCATCTTCGGGTGACGAAAATCGAACAGAGAGACAGCGTAGTATCTCAGACCCATCGGAACTGGAGAAAGAGACGGAGCCTCTGCCCAAGGCGGAGCGTTCGGACAGCATGAGCTCATTTGATACAGACAGCTCAGCTGACTCGACGGAGACAGCATA